CATCTCACTCAGAGTAGTTGTTGGGGAGTTTTTACAAGATTGTTGGCAAGCACCATTCGTGAACACTCGTGTCGTTCCGGAACAAGCCTGCTTGCACATTACCTCATCACTCGTGACTCCGTAATCCTTTGTTTACTCCCGGAATGCCACGAGTTGTCAACGAATGTACGATTCATCCATTCTTGTAGGATACGGAAAGATGCGAGCGGTGACGAACGTACACCGGACTGACACGAATGGGTACGTATGTTCTTACAGGTTGCGGGAAATTGGTGGTGACGAATGGCAGAATTAAGTTAATAAATGCGAACATTCCATTTAGTGTCAGTATCCTGGTGCATTCCCATTAAATGGTCAGAAGATGATTGAGACGAGGTTCTGCCTCGTTGGGGAATAAAACCGCCAGAGATAAACATTCAGGATAAACGCGGACACAGTGAATGCTTCGCAACGTTTGATTAGCTAAACACCATCGCTCCTCCCGATTTAGGATCCAGTGATGACGAGGAGTGGCCGGTAGTCAGGGGTGCGTTCCTCTACTATGAATTGATACCAACTTTTTGCGGCAAATTCCTCAAGAATATTCACATGATTGACTTGACTTATTTCCAGGAATTTAGGGTTAGGAGTTCCATCCTTGTCTGACATGGTTTCATCAATGACTATATGACAGCTGGAATGGTCGACATAATTTTTTATACAATTTCTTTTTTGGCGAAAATGTTTCTTGTCTGTAAAATGTATTAGTTAATCCTATTTGGTGTTGAGGGAACGTAGTGCATACAGACCAGTGAAGCACTGACGATGTATTTCTATTGAGGAGAGACGATGGTAGACTAACATCTAGTCTCTGAAATGAACATATTTTAGTTGTTAAATTATAGATGTGAAATATAACCAAAAGTAGCCCAGAGACTTTCTTCATTTTCTGTCTGATACCGCAGTTGTCCAGACCAGCCAAATATCATAAACATGCATTGGCTGTATTGGATATATTTGTTTCAGGGTCTGAATGACAGACGAAGACTATTTCACGCCGTTTTAGCAATGTCAAGTCGGCAACACAAAGAATGAACATAATTATACTCATGTGGGTGATCGAACTCGGATCGCGGCGTGGTGAGCGAACGCCCTCGCCACTGGGACATCGCACCATTCGTTAGCTTAAAAACCTCCTGCCACTTTTGCCTGTTGTATTGGAGGTACCTTCTCATAAGACCAACTTTTACCGCAGATGTATTATCCATTCAACGAAATGTTCCTGTAAGTGGTTCGTTTCACAGACGCCTTGAGGTCTTTCGTTGCGATGGGTACAGGCCAGATCTCCAGAGGAATGTCCTGCAGTCTATTATAAATATAAATGTGCTATGAACCAAAACAAAATTGTTCGTGGCTGCTTTAAAAAAGTGTAAATCTTGAGGCGAGGTGAAATGGGGTTCAACATCGAGTTCAAGATTATTGCACTTATATTACGACGTGCGTGCACGCGTGTGTGTGGCTGCTTGTTCTAGTCCGGACTTAATGCTAACCCAATGAGACACCATGCAGCAGTATAACAGGGACACCCCACTCAGGCACTGTACACTGACTCGGAGCCGACCAGTACTTGTTTTATCCCCTCAATGCCGAGTGCCTGGCAGAGTAGTATTTGAAGAATTTTGGTATGACGCGGCCAAGGGGCCGAACCATCGACCTTTCACTCTGTGGGAGACATTCTATCCACTACACCACGGAGGTGGTTGTAAGTCTTGAAGCAGTGACCGAGAATATGTTCTGTCACCAACTAAAAACACTGTTCTTAAGACGTTTGAGTAATGAAGCTGTGAACAAATTTCCGTCAGAAGTCTAATTACTTTTGGATGGCAAAACGTATCTCTCAATGATAAAGATCTCAAATCAATGTTGAACGTTGTTCAATTCTTTATCTATCATACAAAAAGATTCAGTACCTTGTTATAAATTATACGTCTGATCATAAATATTCTTCTCTGCTTCTGTTCCTTCTTTCTTTCTTTTGTACACATTGTAATTGGATGTGGTAAATGTTATGGAGAGGGTGTTCTAAGTTTTGACAACTTGCACCAAATCTGTTTCACTACTGTGAATAAAATATGTTTAAAACAAACAAGAACATCGTTGGGGTGAACTCGTCAACGGAGATAACGAAATACCTTCCTTAATTAATGTATTGCTTCAGTTGATGAAGTATTTGAACAACATTTAACAGGATAAAGAATTGAATGTTCATAATTTAATTTTCAACAAGATCCATTCATATACCTGTTGCTAGGTTACATGTAAAACATTATCCTTACACACCCTTTGGAATAAAGACATATAAAGTGTTGATTTTGCCACAGCTCGCGTGAACGTGTAGATGTAAATGGAATCACTGAGCACAGAGTAGGAAGAATATAAAACTACGGAAATATGTTTTGCTAACTTAGGACTCTTCACATGTTTGGCGAAGCCAAAACTAAGAATGTTTTCTGTTGCATCACACCTTGGGATAATGTTTAACACTGGATTGACTGGTCCAGACTCGATATTTACAGACCGCCGTCATATAGCTGGAATATTACCAAACAAAAATAACAACGATGGATATGTCATTTTCTATTATCCAGTGTTTGTCCCCCTTTCTATTGCTTGTTGTTTAACGCCACACTCAGCAATAGTCCAGTATATGAGGGCCCTCTGCAAATAATCGAATAGATAAGATAAGATATACGCACCACGGGGCTGGTAAACCACGAATTATCATTCGTATCAGTCTAGGATTTGAACTCATGCAATTCCCTGCAAAAAGTGCCAAGGCAGGATATTGGAAAAACGATATTTCTAATTTTGCGCAAAACAAATTCTTATTAAGTTCATATATTTGTACATGCAGAGGCTTTTGAACATTGTTTTCAATACAACAATGCATGTATTGTCCTCTTTATTGGCATTGTTATCAGTGATATACAAGTCACCTCTTTAAAGCCAGTTATAGGCAACAAGCACATACCCTTTGATGCAAATTGTGGGAGTGGCGGTAGGGAAGGACGTGCCTACCCTTTCGCGAACGCCTGGTGTCATCACGGAGTTTCAATGATCCATTCATCTAAGTTTCACCGTGATTTTGCCTTTTACGCCCAATGAAATTGGTTTCGTCGGATAATCGAGACTGGTTATCCTCTTGCGTTGACACCTTATATTATTACTAAATTCTTTTTGAAAAAGTAAAGGAATGCCCAGCATTTGAAACAGACAACGTTCAGATAGCTGTATTCAAATGCCCTGTGCAACATATCCAACACAGAACACCCAATGGATGAGTAACTGAGGTCAGTTATAACTGGAATACTGTTTTGATTGCATTTGGGTTGATGTTTCTTTTGCTGGAACCCTGCTTGAATTTGCCAAATTTTAAATGCAATGTTTTTCGATAAGCAAACATTTTTCACCCCAATGCAACAATGCTTTGCATGATTCTTGTGAAAAGAATGCACCCTCCATAAAGGTTGAAGGAGGCGAGTCCTTTCACTGCTTGTTTCAAAAAGCATGTGGCTTAGGATAGCTGCAGGATGGAGCATCCATAAGAGAAGTTGCAAGACGCCTCCAGATCTGTTATACATCGACTGTGAGCAAGATTTCGGACACAAACCCCGATCTGGTAGGTATGGTTTCCAAAACAATCTGGTGACCGATATGTCTGGTCCCTTTGTATAATAGGATATATACTACTCTAAGTTTGCTAAGGATCAAGTTCAAGATCAAAATCATCCAACAAATAAAGATTGAAATATCCCGGTACACAATGATTGGGTAACCCCTATTGGACCTGTTTCGTGACGAACGGACAGAGGCATGCAGTCATGGGTACGATGTGCAAGAGGTGCTTGAAAACTTGTGTTTGAATGTATCGTGACTGAATCGATGCAAACATGGTCAGAGAGCACAACAACATTTGCTACTGAGGATTGCAACTGAATGCACTTATGCCCCCTCAGTGCCAAAGACCTCGTTTGACGATCGAAGAAAAGGGCAGATACATAGGCATGCTTGGAAATGGGTTAACACAACGTCACCACAAACGTCTTTGGTGGTCAGAAGAACATGGAATCGATACGAGAAGTTTGGATCAGCCACCCAGCGACATCGTTCTAACACACAGCGGGAAGACAGGTTTCTCCTGATTGCAAGCAAGACGTCATCACTTCGTGACTGCCACCACACTCAGAAATGACCTGCAGAACGCCAGTGGCGTTAAACGTTTCTACTCAGTGCGTAATCGTCTCAGTGAGGCTTGTTTCCTGTCACGGAGGGCATGCATTCGCATCTCATGATGAGATCAATGTCCTATAGCGGGATACGACGAAAGGTTTGCGCTGCAGGGATGACATTCCGAATGTGTGCATGAGACCGTATGCTGGTGCAATGTACTCGACTTCCATCATCATGAACAATTACACACAACATCATCGTGCCAGGGTAGCTGATGCCTATTTAGGGCCAGCCCGGTCACCAGAACTCAACCCTATTGAACACATGTGGAACGAGCTACAGATCGTCCCCTCAAGACGCCCTGTCCTTCATGACCTATAGGAACTCGGCAATGCTCTTTCTGAAGAGAGGAACAATCTTCCCTAATCAACCCTTCAAACACTTATTAGGAACATGACACGACAGTGCCAAGCTGTGATCTCATCACGTTGGTCACATACTGAGAGTTTGGGGGTTTTTTGTTACAAAGAATTTGTTTTCATGATTTGGGGCATTTCATTTTTGGTCAGATACTCTCATTTTGGCGGGTGATATGACTGGTTATTGGTCACATGTTGTTTGTTGGCATTGTGTGACACATGACAACGGACGTGCTTATTAGACATGTCCTCACGGAATAATGTCTTTGGTTATTTCAACAGATGCACACAAAATTTGACACATTACCGGGTGATCCTCGGCAAAATTTTGAGTATAAAAGTACAAAATAGGCATTTAACTCAAGGCATTGCTACAGTTGCATTGTTTTATTTCACAGTACAGATATTTTACAATACTTGTACATTCAACAGTTTTTACATGTAGATACATCATCAATACAGGGTTGCTGAAGTGTAGAATCAATGGATTTCATAGAGTAAACAAAGAAGTCTGATGACACAAAAGCTTAAGTCCATGATAAGAGGCAACATAATCCAAAAAACATAGAGAAGGTGAAAGAAGACATCAGTTGAAGTCATTATAAATTTTCACATTCAAAACAAAGAGAATTAACTGCCTTTATTTTAGCAGGATGTTTTTTATATGGAATTGTGAGAAAATGAATGTGTATCATGAAACAGAAAATAAATGTATTAAGCAGGGCAGGATAGTCTTTGTCAGAATTAACATCAAATTAATGGTATTCCTTCCACCTACCTGAAACATGTTCTAAATGTTTCAACCTGAAACATTTTGAAATTATTTCATTACATCATAAAATTATCAAGTGAATTATACTTCTTAGGTAATAAAACTGTCAAATCATAAATCTGACATCTTCTAACTGAGTAAGCTCTTTCCTTGTTAGGAAAAAGAGTTAGATCTTATAATACCAAGATATGATGAAGAATGTCAGAGCTCCTGTAGATTCTGCATCATCACAACTGAGAACTGCTTGTTACTACTAGCAAACAAATGCTTGACCACTTGACCAATGCAAGGCACAAGTGGACAGTCCATTCAAACACATGCATAGGGTCATCATCCTATACTATTCATTTCACTGGTGCAGAAGCAGGATCATCACTTTGCCATCATCTCTCCATGTCAAACAGGACTGTTCTATGCAGAGGTAAGTACAATCTCATTAAAATCAGACCTTTTACTCTGCACAATACCCTTCTGCATGAACATTGGACGACCCCTCCTTAAAATCCGTCACTAAGCATCAAGGCTTCTAAATTCTTGGTACAGGTGGGTGAAGCATTCAGATCAGCATATCTTCTCTATCTTGAAACAAACTTTTCTGAATGTAAATAGTAAAGGTTCCTCAATCATATTGTTGTAGATATTTAATACACCCTGTCGTTTCTGAGCACCATGGTATCTACAACCAAACAGGAGATTCATTGAAGGAATATTTGAGTTCTGTGTGGGTTTTCATTTGTTAAAATCAACATTTTCGCATGAAGGTGGTATTACAAAAGAAGCTGAATTGTTGTAGAAACTGATTGGCTCAAGAACCTATGCATCCTTCACTTAGATTAGGCAGTCAAAGTTCACCTGAAATGACCTTCAAGGGAGGTCTCAGATCTTCAGACAGAGGTATTATATCAGAGTAAAAGATCTGTGATGTGACTGTTGCTTACCAGGAAACTGTGTGAAAGACTACTGTGATTATAACATCAACTATATACAGTTTCAACACTATTCTTCAAACAACTACCTTACATAATATGTGACAACAGAGAAAAAAAATATAGGGGCATTTATTGGGGCATTTATTGGGACATTTTAGGATTGGCACAACCAAGGATAATTTAACTATGCACATGGCAATTCTAAAGGCAAGATTGGGGAATTGCACATATCATAGCAAACCTTTATGTGGAAATGAAACTAGAATGGTCATCTTATTCTTCTGCATGTCTCAATATGCCTCTTCATGGTTTGGTTTTCAGGTAATTTTTTCCATAACTTTAGGGCGAGTGATCAAGAAACATAAACTTGAAATTTTAAAAAACATGTTCTTTAAATGATCCAAAAAGATAAAGAGGTGAAATAAACTATGAAGATGTTGTTTTTCTTCATTGAAAAGTCAAAGGGTTACTTCCCTGCCTGTTTTGATCTTTAAATTGTTTTCAGTTTTCAAATTAGTTCACATACTCTAGACAGAAAAACACAACTGTTCTCTATTTTTTCAGATTTGTGAAACTTTTGGGTCAATGTATCTGCAAACCTAAATAAGTAAAAAACTAGTTTTAATTCACTGTAGTATGTCTACCAGTGTCATGACACACCATACTAGCTAAACTTGTAACACACAACACTTGGACATACTTTTTTAAACATATATAATAGAAAGGTCAATAAATGAACCGATAAGTGCTTAAAACCATACACAATTCTAAAATTTTATGATCAATGATTTCAGAGACCACATGGTCTCGGGCTATTCTGGAAATGCGGTTATCAATAAACAAAAACTAGCAATTAATGTGCTACTTTTTAAGAGACCTTAAACACTTGGAAAACTCCCTGAAAAAAGGTTTATGTTAGTTATTAAATCCATGGTATTCTGCCTCTGCTACATTTTGATATGTAACCATAGTAACACTATTTTCTTAAAACTGTTTCATCTACTAAATATATGTTGACCATTAATTGTTCTGCAAGGTCACAAAAAAGGATAGTGCAAACATTTATGATTACATCATTGTAATTAATTCCCCCACATATCTATCAATACAATACATAGGGCAATACACACTGATGATTCTGTTGATGAAACTGACTTGGTTGAAACAATAAGAGAACAAAATAGGCTTAAATATCACATCTCCATTCATTCGTTTGAGATTATGCACATGACAAATAATAATAATAATACTTTTTGTTTGTCTTATGCCACAGTCAGCAACATTCCAGCAATATCACGGTGGCTTGTAAATAATCCAGTTTGGGCCAATCAAATTATATGTTGAAATAGTGTGACAATCAGTTGGAAATGAGATGAACATAAATCCAAATTACTGGCATTATTATTGATGAAACAGTATTAATAAAAAATGCTGACTTTTTGCAGATAGCATAAAAAGGGATTGTTAGCAGTTCCAGGTGACTAACTAATCTTGCTGTCTCAATTATACAAAGAAATGATGTAACTTGCAGTTATACAGTGAAACCGTGTTATTCCAGACCCTGTTAGTAAGGAAAACCTGTTTTTCTGGATGATTGCGTTGGGAACCTCTTTACAAAAACATACTAACAACTGTGAACATATTATTTGTTTATCTGAAAATATGTCAATTCTGACAATTTTACTGTGAATACCATCCAGAATAACAGGGTGTCACTGTTGATACACCAAAAACAGAAATAAATTAAATTTGATATTTACAATGAATGTACATGTAAACAAGATTATATATAACACTTTCAACATACAACAAATTATTTGATTACATGTGTTAATGATAACAATAACAGATTTAATTCTGTCTTGGCATCTATACAATCAACTCCTGTTAACATATTGCAATCAGAAAATAACTTCCATTCATGACGTATCAATGTTTCCAAAAACTAGTTTGATGTTTGAATGAAGCATGTCAAAAATTCCAGGGGACAAAAAAGAAAACATGTTCTTACATTTACCAACAAGTACAGGTAAATATTGTAGTTCTTCCATCTTAGCTATAATTAGTATTCAAAAAATTATGCAAATTTAGAAATAATATTAGCAAAAGATCTCTGCTCCTAGTTTCAGAGCTTAATAAAGTAAAAATATTGATGTGAGGGATTCTAGCTTAGCTTTCGTGTTTAAGCTGCAAAAAGGTAAAGCAAGTTAGGAGGCATTGATCCTTACAGCTCCAAACTAGAATATCTTGAGAAATCTTTACAGATTACATCCTCCAACACCAATATCTAACACATTTTACCGAAGATTAGAAAATGTTATAAATACGTTGACAAAATATAGCATAAATCATAACCAGGAAGTCTATCCAAACAATTCTTTTTTTATCACATTGTTTTGCTAACAGATTTTGTAAACCTTAAAGAAAGACATGAATCTTTCATATTACTTCATCTTCAGACAGTCCTAAAGGGAAACTGTTTCTCATCCAACAGTAGATTTTTCATAGCCCTTACATAATCCGTTGTTGCCATAGAACAGTATCAGGTACCAGGACACTAAAGTACACTCATACAGTATCAGTGTACCTAGATCCTGGTAAAGTTAGTTAATTCCATGATACCAGGATACCATGGTACACTGACATAGTATCAATGTAGATGCTGGTATGATACCAGAACAGCTTATGATAAACCGGTATCAATCCATTTCATTTATGACCTAGCATCAACCAATTCAAATTGGTATTAAAGTCACACACCAAAAATGGATTGACATTTGGTTACTTGCACTGTTACCCCAATTACTGACAGAACACACTGTCAGCACTTACTGACAGAACACTCTGGCAGCACTTAATGACAGAACACACTGGCAGCACTTACTGACAGAACACACTGTCAGCACTTACTGACAGAACACTCTGGCAGCTCTTACTGACAGAACACACTGGCAGCACTTACTGACAGAACACACTGGCAGCACTTAATGACAGAACACACTGTCAGCAATTACTGACAGAACACACTGACAGCACTTAATGACAGAACACACTGTCAGCACTTACTGACAGAACACACTGTCAGCAATTACTGACAGAACACACTGTCAGCACTTTCTGACAGAACACTCTGGCAGCACTTACTGACAGAACACACTGGCAACACTTACTGACAGAACACACTGGCAGCACTTACTGACAGAATACACTGGCAGCACTTACTGACAGAACACTCTGACAGCACTTACTGACAGAACACACTGTCAGCACTAACTGACAGAACACACTGACAGCACTTACTGACAGAATACACTGGCAGCACTTACTGACAGAACACTCTGACAGCACCTACTGACAGAACACACTGTCAGCACTAACTGACAGAACACACTGACAGCACTTACTGACAGAACACACTGTCAGCAATTACTGACAGAACACACTGTCAGCACTTACTGACAGAACACACTGTCAGCAATTACTGACAGAACACACTGTCAGCAATTACTGACAGAACACACTGGCAGCACTTTCTGACAGAACACACTGGCAACACTTACTGACAGAACACACTGGCAACACTTACTGACAGAATACACTGGCAGCACTTACTGACAGAACACACTGGCAGCACTTAATGACAGAACACACTGTCAGCAATTACTGACAGAACACACTGACAGCACTTAATGACAGAACACACTGTCAGCACTTACTGACAGAACACACTGTCAGCAATTACTGACAGAACACACTGTCAGCACTTTCTGACAGAACACTCTGGCAGCACTTACTGACAGAACACACTGGCAACACTTACTGACAGAACACACTGGCAGCACTTACTGACAGAATACACTGGCAGCACTTACTGACAGAACACTCTGACAGCACTTACTGACAGAACACACTGTCAGCACTAACTGACAGAACACACTGACAGCACTTACTGACAGAATACACTGGCAGCACTTACTGACAGAACACTCTGACAGCACCTACTGACAGAACACACTGTCAGCACTAACTGACAGAACACACTGACAGCACTTACTGACAGAACACACTGTCAGCAATTACTGACAGAACACACTGTCAGCACTTACTGACAGAACACACTGTCAGCAATTACTGACAGAACACACTGTCAGCAATTACTGACAGAACACACTGGCAGCACTTTCTGACAGAACACACTGGCAACACTTACTGACAGAACACACTGGCAACACTTACTGACAGAATACACTGGCAGCACTTACTGACAGAACACACTGACAGCACCTACTGACAGAACACACTGTCAGCACTAACTGACAGAACACACTGACAGCACTTACTGACAGAACACACTGTCAGCACTTACTGACAGAACACACTGTCAGCACTTACTGACAGAACACACTGACAGCACTTACTGACAGAACACACTGTCAGCACTTACTGACAGAACACTCTGACAGCACTTAATGACAGAACACACTGTCAGCGCTTACTGACAGAACACACTGGCAGCACTTACTGACAGAACACACTGACAGCACTTACTGACAGAACACACTGACAGCACTTACTGACAGAACACACTGTCAGCGCTTACTGACAGAACACACTGGCAGCACTTACTGATAGCACTTACTGACAGAACACACTGTCAGCCCTTACTGACAGAACACACTGACACCACTCACAGGTCCCATGAGAAAAGGTGGTGCTTCACCAGCATGTCCTTGACCCCTTCCCTGAACGGCTTGTAACCATCCGACTGTTTTGGAAGTTCCCAATCTCTTGATAGGTTAAAGGAAAACTGGGCAAAGAGTCTGAAAGAAAGTGTTCATAAATAAGAAGTGAGATTATTGGCAAATACTGCAAAAACATCAGCATTGAAGTATTGTGTATGCTGCCATTGTCGTAGGCTATGGTTGTAATCAACAAGACATAGACATAATGATGCTACAAGCACAATCAAACAATACGACACACACAGCAAATAAAACATGATCACAACATTGTGTTAGTGAATTGGATTTCATAAAGAACACTTAAAATAAACTGATCATAATACTATAGGTACATAACATGATAAATCAAACACACAAATGATATAAAAACAAATAAAGGAATTTGTAAACTTATCACAACAAAATGCATTATTGCTGTCAAAGAAGTTGACATCATTATTTCCAATCTTAAAGGTTAAAAGGTTGCTGAAAGTAGAAACTTCTTCTCGCTTTAATTTTATACTAGTTTGTTTACAAAAACAACTGACATAAAAATCTTAAATTAGAAAAAAACAACACTTTCAACAAATTTGTTTGAAGCAACTCCATTTCACGCTAAGAATTAACAAGGAATTAAGAAATATCATTTCTAGCAGTTTGGAGGACAAAACCAGTATGTTTATAAACTAATGGCTCTTGCAAATATCTTAAGGGTCAGCAATCGAAACCCTGATTTACTTATATTGTTTAGTGTACACAAAGATTATGCTTATTGTTGAAACTGGTGTCAGTTTGACAAACCATCAACTTGCAACACTACAGTCAATTTCCCACCAACTTAACTTGTTGTTTATCATTTCAGTTAAACAAGGTGCATGTGGTCATATGTTTATATATATTTAAAACCTTCTACACAAAATATTCGGACAAAATTTTGTAAACCAACTAATAAAGAATAAAAAGCCATAATACAGAAGCAGTTTGACATGCATCGGAAATAATGATATCACGTCTCCTCACAAATAAACAGCCAAATGCATTCATTCACTACATACCATGACTCACATTCATTGACAGAATAAAAGAATATACAACAGGATTAAAATAGCATTGAACATTGTACAGTATGCTGCATCTTGGATGGTCTGATATTTGAGCAAAAGCTGCTTTCAAGAGGTCTTTAGGGAAATCCACTTAAGTAACAATTAAATGTCACGGTAAAAGCAATCAAGAAATTTGGGTAAATAATTGTATATACTAGACTATGTAATGCATGTGCCATTGTACAACTGTCACTGTTTAACACTGGCAAAACAACATGACAATGCTGAGAAACTCAGATTTTCTAAACTAAAATTTTCTAAAAATAATTACATTGCCAATATACAGTAAGGTTCCAAGAATTTGAGTCAATAAAGATCCAATGAGAATTTTTCATCTGTGACCATTTAGCCCAAATGAAAGTTATCAGCACTCAAAATAATGAAAGATGTGTGGTATATGATAACAAAAACATAAGTAACGATGGTAACCCTACTTTTGTTGCACCCTAGAATGGTGTATCCTCAAAGACAAAAGTAAGTGTCATCATGTTCTTATTCATATTATTCTGATGTCTTACAAGTCTGTAACTTAAAAGGATTTCAAAATAGGCTTTCTAAGTATTTCTTCAAAATATTAAAAATTAAATTAAGCCTAACAAATTTTGTATATATTTATTGTGATTTTATTAGAGATGTACAGCAGATTTGAGGTGTGGCTTTCTTAAAATTATTTGACTAAAATTGCAATAAAATGGCAATAAGCTACCCATATTTTGAAAAGGGGTTTGTTGTGTATAACGTTAGATCAATCTGAAATGTCATACCGTCCGTAGCATCATTCTTATTTTTATTTAGTTATCAATAATTTATATGAAGGCAATTAGGTTTGCCCTTGAGTGTACAACCCAACCACTCATAGCAAAGTATCCTCTATTTCTATGCATATACTACCTGTGCAGTGCTCATCTACCAACAGATACCTTCCCTGTGCTTCCACTATTGCTGAGCGGGTCATTGTCATACAGGGTACTACAGAAATGTATCCCAGGTACTGGTCTGTATACAGAAATGTATCCTGGCAGATATCATAATACAGAAATATACAGTGTTCCCTCGTTATTGCGCTACGTGCAACATAGATCGTGTTAGGTAGGCAGAGCATGTATACTGTTTTGTTGGTCATCTACCACCTACGAGTGTGAGTGAGTGAGTATGGTTTTATGCCGCTTTTAGCAATATTCCAGCAATATCACGGCGGGGGACACCAGAAATGGGCTTCACACATTGTACCCATGTCGGGAATCGAACCCGGGTCTTCGGCGTGACGAGCCAACGCTTTAACCACTAGGCTACCCAACCGCCCCCTACCACCTACAACTCTCGACCTTCGTTAAACCGCTGATCATCTATAACACTCATCAATTATTTGGCGAGGGATCACTGTACCCTTGTCGGCCACAGCATAGAACTGAAACAACTTGACGAATCCATTCAACAGTGCATGAAATCAGTTTCTCTGCAGATTTCTGGTAACCATATTAAAATTACTATTGGCTGTACATGTTATATGTTCTAATAAAATCCATTTCATATTAACACCACAATCACCCCTTTGTGACAACAGGCAAGATTTCAGGCAAGATATATTTCTGTATTATAATTTTGGCCAAGGTATATTTCCGTATTTTCATTTTGACCAGGGTATATTCTAGCATTTAGATTTCAGCCAGGGTATATTTCGGTATACAGAAAAGCACCTGATGTAGTACCCTCTATGACAACACTTTCTTCAGCTCCACTATTAAATACACCGATATATAGATTGTGTGCTGCAGTTAGGATGGTCCATGGTTATGATGACCACTGGTCAGTCCACCTTCTACCCCCAGGCCTTGTGCTAATTCCTCCATAAGCCCATGATATACATATTGCACATTTGCAGTTGTGGTCAAAAACAAGATACAGACTCTACAAATGAGTGTATCAGTATTCAGCTTTGAAAATACAACCACCCCATCTGTTATTGACACTTTCATCATGTTTGTCTGTCAATCATACATAGCTTTCGTGCAAGTGGAAGTTTAGGCAGAATGGATGATTTTCCATACTTCCTAACTGTTTTGTATTGGAAATTATAAATATTACATTTGTTTTAGCTTGTAAGAAATTCAAATCAGAGTCTATGAACGGGACGAACAAGCAAAAACCTATTGTGGTCTTGGTAGATTCTATACCATACAAGCATCCCTGAACCACATTACATGCTAGGTTGTCTATAAGCCCTACATTCACATCACTGGCCTATTTTAACTTCAACATCACTGTCTTGATTATCGTCGGATAGGCTGGGTCTCAGATTGTTCATCCATGCATAGTAATTTGATCACTGATTTGGATAAATACAAGATACAACCCTAGAACATAAAAAGAAAAGTTTTAACGACAAGCAAGTTTGTGACACTAGATGCACACTATGCAGGTGAGTCCAGAAAACAAGGTTCCACAACACAGGGTGTCCACAGTACAAGGGTAGCACATCATAAGTCCCAGCTAAACAGATGGTGCTTTATCAACATGTCTCGCACTCCTTCTTTCAAACTTGCTGGGGCTGGTTTGCGAAGTAGCTCCCAGTCTTGGGATAAGGTAAAGGAATAGTGAGCCAAGATTCTGTAAAAAAAACATCAAGCTAGCTATCAGTGATACATTCAAAGCTTAAAAGACAGTTCAACATTGTAAAATGCAACTACAGACTACAGGTGAGTTACAAGACTGTAAGTTCAGAATGAGATGTGTACATGGTGTCGGAAACATTAAAAGCCAATGGATAGACTAACATTTAGTCTCTGAAATGAAAATATTTAAACATTGGTTTTGATTAAAGTGTCTTTGAATGTATATAATATAAACAGAACAAATCTAGACTTGCCAAAGTATTGTAGACTTGCTTGGGATACTGAAATATTTTTTGTTTCAGGGTGTGTATGAGAAACTATCATCACAGGGCCAGGATTTGTTTTAGTTTGGTTTACGGATGTTGTTTTTGAAATATTTACACACTTTTTCAAATATATTTTGAGATTTAATTTGGTTTGTTTGTTTGTTATTTAACGCCGCACTCAGCAATATTCCAGCTATAACATGGCGGTCTTTAAATAATCAAGTCTGGATCTGACAGTCCAGAGATTGACACAATCAGCATCGATCCATGCAAATGGGATATGATGACATGCATCAACCAAGTCAGTGAGCGTGATCAACTGATCCCGTTGGTTGCCTCTTACGACAAGCATTAGTCGCCTTTTACGGGAAGCATGGGTTGCTGAAAAACTATTCTACCCCAGATCTTCACAGGTCTTTACCGGTATTTTGGTCAGAAGGTGGAAAGAAACTACATCTGAGCTCACTTGTTTTGGTTCTTTAAACAACTTGAATTTAACATCAGAAATTTAAGTTTCTGTACTGTTCTGTTTTCAAGAATTCAAAAATGTGTTTCATTTCAGCATTTTCGGTTGATGCCAAATATTTTTAGATTATTTTATTATCAAAATGATTTTAACTGGTGGCAGCATAAAAAAAAACTTGCAATACCATTGTTTTTTCTTCCCCATGTTATTTTATTTTTAAGCTGGGCAGATATGTAACGCAAGTAAAAAATTTAAGGTCTAACACAAATAATGCTCTGTAATCATGGTAATACTAGGGGGAAAACACTTTCAATGGACATTTCTGATTCATATCAATAATATTTTGTTCAAACCCTATAACATAGCTATCTGCATTACATATTAAGATTACAACTCCCCATCCAAAGCAAGCACTTAGCTCACCCGCCCAAGCCTTCACCAGCCTTGACCAGGAGTAACCAGGGATTGAGGACAGCTACTGGTTGTATCAACAGCAGGAATGATGATCACATATATGAAGATAGCAGCAGTTACAGCAGGCACAATGGACAGACAAGAACTTGTTGTAACCCTTTGGAAGAAGTTCAACTAGTTGACCCTGATCTGACTTTGACCTGCATTATCCAAGGTCAGGGCAGAGCAACTGGAGTGG